TTGCTTATAATTGGTCTACTAATGTGTCCAGCCTTGGTTAGTCTGCTGATAAGGAGAGAAAGAATCTTGCTGCCTGCATTCATAGGCGTGTGTCTGGTGTCTTGCAGTAAACTGCCTGGGAGAGAGGGTTCCAGGTATGCTTGTTACTCTGATGTTGTCACTGGACTATATGGCCATGTATGATGATGGTAGGCAGGGGGATATCTAATTACAGAAAACAGTAATTGGTTTGGATTATTTCTCATGATCTAAATTCCTTTAGGATTACAAAATCAAACTTTTCTTACTAACTGGAGGCGTGCTTTTGACATTTGCAGTCAGGTTTCATACAATGGCACATGACCTTTACCCTCCTATTTTTTTTTACTTTAGCCAATACTAGGCACTATTTTCAATCACCTCATATGCATGTGAAAGCTGGACAGTGAATAAGGAAAACCGCAGAAGAATTGATGCCTTTGAGTTATGGTGTTGGAGGAGAATATTCGAAGTGCCATGGGCTGCCAAAAGAACCAATAGATCCGTTTTGGAAGAAGTGCAGCCAGAGTGCTCCTTAGAGGCCAAAGTCTCTCATACTTTGGACATAATTGTTAGAAGGGACCAGTCGCTGGAGAAGAATATCATGTTTGGTAAGGTAGAGGGTCAGAGAAAAAGAAGGAGACCCCAAAGGAGATGGATTGGCCAAGTGGCAGCATTGATGGACTCAAGCGTGGCAACAGTAGTGAGGTTGGCCCAGGATCGGGCAGTGTTTTGTTTTGCTTTGCATAAGGTCGCTATGGGTCGGTACTGACTTGATGGCACCTAACAACAACAACAACAGGCACTAGTTCTTAAGTGCCATTGAATCGGTTCCAACTCATAGCAATCCTGTATAGGATTTCTAAGGAGCAGCTGGTGAACTTGGACCGCCGACTTTGCAGTCTAGCACATAAACCTGTAGTACCACACCAGCACTCCAGATTACACTAGTATTGATCACTAAGTCTCTATGTGTGTGCTACAGAAGAAGAAAATAATTTCTGACATCTGTATAGTTCTCTAGCCTCTAGTCTGGTATTTTAATCCTTTTATTTATGAAATTATGTAGAAGAAAGATGACACTTTCTGCCCCTGCAAAGATTTACAGCCTCAGAAACCCTGAATAGGTCTCTGTGAGTCAGAACTGACGTGACAGCACTTAACAACAACATTATGCAACATGGCCACACAAAGTTGTTGTTAAGTGCCGTCAAGTTGGTTCTGACCTGTAGAATCCTGTGTAGGGTTTCCAAGGAGCAACTAGTAGGTTTGAACCATCAACTTTGTGGTTCAAACTGACATTGCGGTTCATCACATTATCCTGCAGTGCCACACCAGGACTTCAGGTGAATATTTTTCGAGACAAAATTGTGTAACAGTTTAGATTATGTGTATTTGAATTTAACATAAATGCTAACCAATTTACCATGTTAAAAAATATTGTATATATTCAATATTATACAATAGTTTGCCTGTAAATTATGACTTCAGGCAGAAATACCAAGCAAACTCAAGAGTTTAACATTACAAACATCGTAAACATTAAAATCTACTTTCTCATTTGAATGTTGGAATTTTCTGAAACTCGATTACCTGTAATACATGATCAGTTTCTTCTTATATGCATTGCATATGAACAGAAGAATTTCTGTCCATCTGACATTCAGTGATTTGGCCAGGTGTATTGTTAATTTGTTTTGCTTCATTGGCTTTCCATTTGGGCATGGGTGATCACCCTGTCCACATTCCTCGAAGATTATTTCAGTCTTAGAATAGTTAAGCATTTTCTCCCCTTAGCTGACCTTTTCCTATACATTTTGCCTAAGAAGAAACTGCCAGTTAACAAATTACACATTCTAGTAAGTGATTTTGATCAGGAGAAACTGAGAGAGAGCGTTTCCCAAGATATATTTAAGAACATATTTTGGTATTTCCTTTTCTGTAAGATTTATATTCTTGGTTGTCTCAACATTTGCTGGTTTTGCCCTTCTAATTTTTTTGGGGTAGTCTGTCTTCTCATTTTTGGTACTCAAACCCTAATACTATTCCCAGTAGGATTTGCAGTTCATTTCTCTACTGTTTAACCCAACTGGATTCATCTCCAAAGTCCTTGATTTCCCCATTTCATCTCTCAGCTAGATATTTTACATTCCCCTCAGTCTGCATTCCCTCAGTATCTCCTTTCTGTTTATGGCCTAGAGTTAAAAAAAGGAATTTGGATGGATTTCAGTCCACTTCACTTACTCCTGTGTCCTACTTTTAAATCGTGTTCTGTCTAAAAGCTCTATAAGGAAGACACTGTATTTCATCTGTCATAAACTGAATCAAAACTAGAACAGCATAGTAAAGAATGATTCAAGCGTGAACATTCAAGTCCAATCTTGGTTTGAATCCTTGCTCTGAGGATTATGATTTTGGACAAAAAATTTACAGCCTGAATCCCTTTGTCTCTTATGTGTAAATTGTGGGCAAAACTACTTCATAGGATTCTTGAGAAGATTAACATAAAGGCTAAGCAACAGGGCCTAGCGTACAGTAGGCATCTAGTTGAATAGCTGTTAGTAGCTCATTTCATCTAACTAACCAGGAATGACTTTCCCCCTCTTTGAGCAAGTGATCTTAGGTCACAGAAAGGAATAGTTGTAGTCTGATAAAAGACTCTGGAGAACTTCACTGTCACTCTGTTAGAAAGGCAGTCCTGTGTCATTTTCTTATCAAGCTACTAATTACTCTGAATTCTTAGATCAGGAGAGAGTGGTATTCTCTTTATCTTGTTTCTTCCTTAATTTAGGGATTCATAAATCCTCTTAGATTTGCGTTTTAATATAGACATCGGTAATCACATAAGGTTGGCTCCATAGAGTTTACTAGAGAAGTCCTATTTCTGGGCTAGACTCTAAAGAACTGGTCAATTCAGAAAATGTATAAAAGTTTTCACTTGCTTTTCTAGCAAATAGATTTTTAATTCGAGATCCACTTTATGGCAATTGATTATTTCTTCAGGCAGCTGTTTCAGAAAGACTAATGTTTACATAAATCTCTTATTATTCATATTTACATAATTTGATTTGTATGTAAATAAAGCACCATTTGCCAAGTTGAATTTGATCCACCCAAACTGTTGGTTGTGGAATTTGTTTTTTCACTTCCTTCTCCTGTGCTGCCATCCCATCTTTGATAGCATTTATAAAGCTTTGCATTTTTTTCAGTGATGATAAGGGATTTTTATCATCAGCCACATTCTCGTTCCTGGTACCCTTTGTGACCATCAAATAGTATGTTACTTCTTTGATAACTGAGAGATGTTATCTGGGCCACAGAGTAAAGAGGATTGATTTTGCTATTCCAAGTATGTCTACTATGGCTCTCTGGGACCTATATTCCATCTACTATAGCAGTCGTCTGGGACTCTGCATTTTGTTCTGCCTGAAATTTTTAAGTTTTGTGTAAATGATCCCAACAGAAAGGACCTCTTTTTCCACCTAAGTTATGTGATGTGAATTTGACTCCTGGTTATAATCAGAAATTATCAAATAATAATTTTACAAATTATGTAATTTATCATTTTAATTATATAGTGTATATTTTTATAAGTCCTGGTGTAGTGCTAGCCACAAGGTTCAAACCCACCAGCCACTCCTCAGAAACCCTATACAGGGTCACTGTGAGTCAGAAACAAATCGACAGCAATTAGCACCAACAACATAGAATAAAATGAGAATTTTATTAATTTATAAATTATAAAATAACTGATTCCAGGCAACTTAGAGTTAACCCAAGAGAACCTAGTCCCTACCTCTTACCCTCACTTGTGAAAGTGCTACATTTTAAAGAACACACTTAGATATGCTTTAAAGAGTAAGCAACAAATAGATATATTACAAAAACCAGGAAGTTAGTTTTTAAACCGGTGTTTATCAGTGAAAAACTGCCTCCATCTCACAAAAGGAATGACGGGAGTATGCTCAGTTGTTTTAAGCTCTCAACAAATATTTTTCTATTATATATGTAGAGAACTTCTGTGTTTACTGGAAACCAAAGTTTCCAAAGCTGTTTGCCTGATAAATAGGTAGAATATTTAGCCTTTATTTTTAAATATTTTCATTTAGTATAGCAGAAAGTTGCTGTGTTGGCAGAAGTGTAAATTTCGTTTCCTGTCTGTGGTGTGCCCCACTCATCCTGTCGCTCAGACATTTTGTTTTAGGTTGTTCCCGTAATGTGAGTGAAACAGAGTGACCCACAACAGGGTGTATGTAACATGTGGACACCACAGATGTAACAAGAGACAAAGCTTGTGCAACAGACCACAGGAGCGCAATGCTTTATTTAAAGATGAAAACAAAACAAAATCAAGACAGCCCCTCCCAACCAGCATGCAAATTTTAAAGGGGTGTTTGTGGTGTTTGTGGATTGTGATGTTTTGTTTTTAGAAGACATGTCCCAATCTATTTAGCAATTTGCTGCAAAGGTATTTCACCTTCATGCCACTTGACTAAAAAATAAAATTGAGTGGACAACTGATAAATTTATAGTGCTAATATAATTTTGTTTGCTCATTGACTTCTCACAACAACAACCTCATTTTATTATCCCAGTTTTACAAATAAGGAAATTCAGGCCCAAAAAATTTCACTCTGATGGGAAACAGCAGAGTCAGGATTTAAACCCACACAGTCTGGGGTTCCAGAACCGTCACGTTTTTTATTTGTTTCCAGTACTTCATACTTAACTGCAGCCATGTAATGTTGGAATATTGTAAATTTTGTTTCAGAAAAATTATCTAGAGTAGACAAGACTATATGATAGACAGGACTGTTTGATTAATCAGAGCCTCCCCTGGATTTATTTTTACTGTATTCCACATATTTGGGTCTTGGGAGTAGGTAAGAGAGAATCATCCTAAAATGGGTCTCCATCCTGCAGTTGGACTTCCTTCTCTTAAGTAATGTATTTATTTTATATTTTTTACTTTCTATTTATAGCATCAGTGAAAGCTTTCTAACTGTCAAAGGTGCTGCCCTTTTTCTGCCACGAGGAAATGGATCATCCACACCAAGAATCAGCCACAGACGCAACAAACATGCAGGTAAAGCTCCACATACACCATCCTTGGTTACCTTGCTTTGTGTTCTAAAAGGCTGAGTACCTAGTCATCATTTCTCAAACAGTTCTGTAACAGTGAAAGAAAGCATTTGTTCATTACAGTTACTTTTTTCCCCTCCCATAGACCAAATTTCTAGTACTTTAGCACTAAGCCTTACATATGTAATAAAAATCCATTGTCATTGAATTGATTATAACTCATGGTGACCATCAGGTTTTCTCTTACCTATAATTTTAACAGAAGCAGATAGCCAGACATTTCTTCTGCAGTGCCACTGGATGGGTACACTTCGCCAGTCTTTTAAGTTAGAGGTCAAACAAAAACCATTTGCTGTCCAGGAACCTTACACATGTAATAAATATTTAATAAATTTTTGTTGGAATAATAATGGAAAGGCACAAAAATACCATATTGAAGTTATCTTGGATTTCTCAATTGAAGTTCTACTTATTAAATCATATTCAGATAGTTCCTTAGAATTTATGCAAATTTATTTCAATTAATCAAAGATTAATTGAAGTCCATAGAAGAATTGATGCATTTGAATTGTGGTGTTGGAGAAGAAAGTTAAAAGTACTATGGACTGCTTGCCATAACAAACAAATCTGTATTGGAAAGAAGTACTGTCACAATGCTCTTTAGAAGCCAGGAGGGTGAGATTTTGTCTCATATTCGGGCATGTATGTTATAAGGTGGGAGCAGTCCCTGGAGAAGGACATCATGCTTGGTATAGTGGAGGGTTGGTGAAAAAGAGGAAGACCCTCACGGAGAGATGGATTGTGACACAGTGACAGCAGCCATGGGCTGAACCATAACAGCAAAGATTAAATTTCTTGTTTCAGTTCTCTACTGATGGTGTAAGAATTATATAGTATGTTATTAAGAGAAATGAAAGTAAACTCACTGTCAGTACCGTGATAACAAGCATTTTATCACATTGAAATAGCAGTTTTTAAATGCCAGACCCTGCTTCCTGTATTGGGAGTGCCGTGGCTCCATCCAATAAGCACTGGACTGCAAACCACAAGGTCCGCAGTTCAAACCTGCCAGCCACTCTAGGGAAGAAAGATGAGGATTTTGCTCCCATGTAGATTTAAAGCCTTGGAAATTCTATACAGGTCCACTGAGTCAGAACTGATTCAGCAGCACTTAGCAACAACAACTTTTTATAATATTATAAGAGTCCACACTAAAAAGACAATATTTAACCCAGAAAATGTTTGTAGAAGCCAGGAATAGGGATATCAAATAAATGCTCACCTATATAAATTTGATAAATATATGAAGACTGGTTTTGAAATAACCTACTAACTGTTAACTCTAAATAATAGCTTGTGTTATCTGGGGAGGATATAAAATTCAATCCAAAGATAGGAATTGGAGAAGTCCTAATCAGTGATATATAAAAGTGTTTGCTTGTTATTCAAAATGTGCTACTTTAATGTGTGACCTCCAGAAGTGGAAGAAATTGCAATTACTATTAAGAAGGGAACAAACAAGACCACAAACTTAGATGTATAGGTCAGAGATGAAAGCCAGAAATATTGGACCCCATTGAGCCAGTAATTGGGTTTATCTTACAAGGGTAAGTCAAAAAATATTGCAACAGAATCATAGAAACCTTCATTAAACAAAAAATATCAAAATGTGAAGCATTTGATTGTTGACATATCCTCCATCTAGGTCTGTATACTTCTAGTATACAGAAGTGTTTCTAGGTAGTGTTTCCCTCTCTAACCCTTCCCCCAAGAATTCTACACTTTGATTTATACTACATCAAAATGGCTTCGTTGGCAATCTTGAGGGACTCAAATCATATTCCTTTTCAATGTTTTTTTGAGTCTTGGGGTAGGGGAAAAAAATGTCTGAAGAGGCCATATCAAAAATGTGGGGTGGCTGGGGTAATATCTCCCAATAAAATTCTCAAGGAACAGCCCTTGCTACCTTTTAAAATGAGTAGATACATTGTCATGAAGGAAAACAGTTCATCAGTGCAACTTTCCTGGCCTTTTTGTCACCAATGAAGTCTTCAGTTTTCTTAAAACTTCTTTCTAATAAGCCCTCCATGCTAGTCATGTATCCTTTTGTTACTGGAGTCGCTTTGAAGGAGTTGCCAACGCCATGCGGGCTATAACAAAGGCAGGGCTTTATTGTGCTAGCTCGTGGCTCAGTGGATTCGTATCCAGAGGCTGAGCCCCGTCTTCTCTGTGTGAGGATATTTTATAGGGAATAGGGGGTGCATACATGAGTTCATTTGGGATTGGTTAGCAGGGACTAGCAGCTTCACAGGGCTACCTGCTTTGGTTGGTTCAAACATATGGCGGGGAAGGGTATATGAGCATACAAGCAAGCAGTTACAGAAGCGGAAGCAGGTGAACATTAGCTCAAGGCTCTGTTCCCTCCCAAAGGTGGGTCAGGAACAGGAGATTAGCCTAGGTAATCACATGAGGCTGAGGTGGTCTGTTGCTTATTTCCTGGAATGTGAATCGTGCTCCAGGAATGAGCTATGAGCCTGAGGGACACCGGGGGCCAGTGCCTATTTCCACAGGCCTGCCTGCCTCACTTTGAGAAAATTTATCAAGATTACCCTATTTGAATCTCTCTAAAAATCTCTATACCTTCTGAACTAACCTCTCTGTCTTGAATTTCACTGACCCAGCAGATCCCTTCACAGTCTACTGTTGTGATTGGACCTTAACTCTCTGAATCCTACTGGTAAATCTATGACTCATTCCCATTTGCAATTTGCTCCATAAAATTGTGTTCATTAGTTTCTGTCTTGCTTCAAAGATCAATGGAGTCATTGGCCCTGCATCCCAAATTACTGGGTGTCCACCCCACACCTTTCTGCCAAGACTCCAAAAGAGTTCACCAAAATGCCATCTCAACTGGAACAAGCCATGGTAATGATAATGTTCGTGGTTTACTGATTTTCTGGGGATAAGCACTACTTAACAGAAAAATACCTGAGGGTGCTTATGGGAAAGTAGCTCCCTGGATTTTTGGAAAGTCAAAAAGACCCTATGGTCATGGACAACGTAATAAGAAGACTTGGACCAGTGCAGAGATGACAAATGAACTTCCAGCATTTCCTATCATTCATTGCTGCATCACCTGCAACAGCTATTTTGTAGTACACATGAAGCAAAAGGAGAAATAAAGTAGTTATAGGCAGAATTGAGGACTCACCCCCATCCTGACAAGAGTTATCTCAAGGAGTTGCTTAGAGAATCTTTCCCACAGCTTCCCCCATATATGGATTTCATGAGCAGATTGGGTCCTTTAGAATATGTACAAATAAAATCCCAATTCCCATTTGGCAAGTAGAAAACAAAAAGTCATTTTAAATGATTTTGATTTTTATATTTTTTGCCTCCTCTTGTCCTCAATTTTAGAAATTCCTTTTTAATACCATTCAAAAAAAAAAACAAAACAGACTGATGGGAAGATCAACTCTTTGAGATAGTTGATCTTCATTCAATGCTTAACAACAACAAATGGAGCCAAAAACTGCTGAGGCCAAGATATTTGCTAAAAATTGAAAATGTGGAACCATGTGAGATCCCAGCTTCAGTAGCTCTATCACATCTTTACTATTTCTGTTGTCTTCTTCCACCAGTTTCTGGACTTCAGCCACAGTTTTCCTCATTTATCAATGTTGATGGTCTTCCTCTCTTTTATACCTTAAAACACTAGATCCATCTAAAAAGTCTTATGTGGAATAGCATTCCTTTAAATTTGTTGCAAAGCTTAAGTGATTTGAGAAGATAACTTGAGCTTTGTTAAAAATGTGATATTAGCCCTGACCTCAAAATCACGTTTTTCCATGGCATAAAAAGTATCCTTATTTTTTGTGAGGCACCCTAACGAGACTAAGACAAGTGTATTACTAAGAAAAATTGTCAGCAGCCACCCACTAATTGCAGAGCCAAATTTAAACATGTTTTGTTTGGAATGCAGTATGAACTAGAACACTGTAGCAGTACTTTTTTACTACCCCTGTAGTCTCAACCATTTTAGTGGCTTTCCTACTTCTTGTGTGCCCTCATCAAGTTGCTAATGTGGCAGCTCAGAATTATAATCAGTCTCATTGAACAGTATTATCTTCCTACCAGAACTCTCTAACCATGGAAAACATTTTTGAATAAAAAGTGGGGAAAGCTTTTGGAAAGTAGCCTTTGGTTAAACTCTCTAAAACTTTCCTACTCATTGCCTGCCACCAAAATAAAATGAAAACAACAAGCACTTCCCCAAAAAACTTGAATGCACAGAGGAAGTAAAGCCCCAGTTAAGCTTTGATATTTTTTTTGTTTGTTTGTTGTGGATATTTATCACTTACAGTAAAAAGACAACAAATTATTAGTTTAAATCCACCTTTTTTAAGATGCAAATTGCTTTCTGGCACATAACAGTGAGTAGGGGAGTAGCTTTTAAAGCTTGTGCCCTTGGTTGAATTTTTTCCTTTGGTCATACTTCCACATTCAACTGCCCCCCAGTTTTCTACTTGACATTGCTCACTTAGCTTTCCCCATACTAAAAAGAAAAGCAGATTTAACACAAGCTGTGAATGGTCTTGATTTGTGATCCAGACCAGAACAAATGAGGGTAAAGTATAAATGCAGTGCATAAAAAAACAGACTTTCACATATGCTGGAGCTACCTTGGCTGAGCAACAGTTACTGAAAGATGATGGCAGATTTGAGAGTACATCAAAGGCTTGCATATTTCTTGAACTGTTGGAATTTTTATCTAGACAGTCAAAAAGTGATATTATGAGTAAATGTCTGGTAACATTTTAAAGGTAACCTTTAAAATCAAACTAAAATCTGGAACTTGGCTACTAGCAGTGGCAAGAACTATATGGGACATGAGAACAAACAAGATGGTGGATCAGGTGGAAGTTCAGTGAGGAGCTCCATCAGCAACATCGCCAGGCTCAGGGTATGAAACCAGAACTCTGAACCACATATAAAGGAATATTT